AAGAAACAGCCTTGAGACTCAGGGTGGCTGTTATTACAGCCAGGGTGTGTTGCAGGGCAAGTTGCCCTGGTCGCGGCCCTGCACTTTCTGTCACAGCAAGAGGTCACTGCTTTGACAGAAGTGACTGAGCTTGCTAAGTTTAGAAACCCAGGGCTACTGCCAAGTTAAATATATCCCCCCTGCAGTGCCCGATCAGTGCAGATAAGATGCTTGCAGCAGTGATAGATACATATTGTTTGCACTCCTGGTGCTTGAGCCTATTTTTGGTGTTTATTATTTGAATTATTAGTATCATCAATATGATCATTGTATTGTTGACTTAAAGCTTTCGTGACTGCAGGAATTCATATTCTTTTGGTCTTTTGGTTAAAGTCAGGTAGATAGAAATAAAAATATCACGATGTTTCGACGGCGACGCAATCGCCTGATGACGATTGCTTGCGTTGCGATCGAAACGTCGTGATGTTTTTATTTCTATCTTCGTGACTTTACCGAAAGACCCAAATAATATGATTATATTGTTATTGTCAATAGTTTAAATTTAAACTTTGATTGAAAGCTTTTGTGACTACAGGGGTTCATATTCTTGGTTCTTTCGGTAAAAGTCACGTAGAAGGGAAACAATATTATTTTATTGTTTCCCTTCTACGTGACTTTACCGAAAGAACCAAGAATCTATATAGTTAAAATTTAGCTTACTTTATTTGACTTTTGACATTTGTCGCAAAAGTGGTGTCGTGCCGCGCGCAAGTTGTCGCCTGTCGTTGCGAGGGTTCTTGCCCTAACGACCTCGTGGAATCGGGAGTTGCCACAAAAGTCTTCGCTTGCACCATGATTGGCACTCGGGGCCCTGATGACCACCACCACTTTGCCACCACCTGTGCCGCTATTGCCGGGTCGCTGGCTTGCTCTGCCAGGCCAACCGGCAACGTGTTTACGTTTTAATGAAACCGCTCTTTCGCTCAACACTGTCCGGCGTAATCGCCACTTTTTGGAATTTGTGAATTCAGCATTCTGCTCTATTTGCTTTTCAAGATTTTTGAGTGACTCGTATATGTCTTGAAAATAATTGTTTTTTTACCGTGTGCCATTTTAGAGAATTCATAAACATCATCAGCCACGATCAAGACCCTTGTTCTTCTTGCGTATGGCTCCGTTAAGTTGAGTAGAGAATTTAACGGCGTGTTCGCGAGCCAAATACATTTAGGGTAAATTCCTCCGTTGAGAGATCCCGCGGGGGGGGGACATTGAGTGAGGATGTGAATCCATTGAAAGATCTCGTGGGGGGACATTGAGTGAGGATGTGAACCCCTTGGCTGCTCGGCCTGTGGAACTAAAACGTAATTTTTTTTAACATGACGTGGGTGCACTGACTCATGCGCGTTAGATCATCGCCATTTCCGTAGCTGTTTAATTCTCACTTCCTGGTTCAGCAACCTGAAGATGCTCGACGCGGTTTAAGGCGAAACCCCCCAGTGTACCCGATTGCTAACAATTCCATTGTGAAAAATCGCCCTCGGACTCACCGGCGAGGGAGCTCGAAACGACAACAATCGGCGTGACCCCCATGGGAATTGCCAATTGTGCATCACCGAAAGCAACCCAGTGGGTGGGGGTGGGCGCAGAGAAACAAACGACGCGGTGCGCACGTGACAATTCAATTCGTTTGGACCGCTTCGGGCGGCGGAGGGCTCTCGCGACGAAAAGTTTGGCCGGAGTGATTACGTGGCATGAACCGAAATCTCAATTGCCAAATTGTTGCAATAGTTCTTTACAGGATTACACCTGAGGCAGCTTAGAATAGTGCCGCGACAACAAAGCAGTCTTCACAGAACCCGGTTGATGGATTAACGCCGCACGCAAATATGCGCCGTGTGCCCCTCCCCCCCGTGTTGCCTGAGCCGAGGCCGGCGTTCTCAGTCCGGGGTTGACGAAGTCCAGATCCCCGGCAGTAATGGCCCCCGTGATTGCATTGGCGAGTGCGGGCGTGCATTCGCTGGCGCTTTACTCCTGGGGCGGGGAGCGGCGCCGCAACGCATGGCGCACCGTGCTGCGAACCCAGCGGCCTGAGTCGGATTCCCAGCCACGGCCAACGTCGGTGATATCTGAACCCGGGTCGTGGTTGCGCCCTCGCCACCTTTCGCCAACTCATACCGACGAGCGTGGTGAAGTATTGATGAACAACTCTCAATCACCTCACAGCCTCGGTGTATTTGCTAGAGCGCTATGGGAGTTGGAGACTCGTGAAAGCGGCCGGTGGCTCAGCGGCTAAGTCGGAAGGTTGCGAGTTAAAATCCTGGTCGGGGGTTGACTCAGGCCATCATCCTTCCGTGGACTGGTGAAATGGGTACCATTTTGCGATGAAGTCAATGGTGGTTGTCCTGTGGATACACTAGCCCATGCCATAGGAATGAGGAATTTCCACCACTGGGCTCTGCGGAGCAATAAACAGAAGATGAGCACTCGCTCCTCAACGTGGCTCATTTGAGCAGCAGGGAATGACTCTAACACTTGGATACATCTTAACGCTCAATACAATACGATTACAAAACACTACACTGCAAGGCGGTGCCGCGGATTTACATAGCTACGAAATGCGACCGCATCTCGCGGCGCTGTCCAGTAGCACCGTGCTTCTTTGGTTTGTCGAGAGAGAGAGAGGCGGTCATCAATCATAGGCAGAGGAAGGTCTTGAGCCTGGACGTGAACCGGGGCAGGGAACCGACAGCACGGACGATGGGGGGGGGGGGGGGGCGGGGGGGTGGTGGGGAAGGACTAACACGATAGGGCGTTTAATTATGCACACAATTCGTTGTTCTCACACGATCACGCGTGTCGTGCCATCGTTACATTGGGGGGCCGAATCTGTTGCGGTGCGGGCAAGAAGAGCCGAGTAAATCGATAGGCACGTGGCGATTCTCTCCCGTTATTGATCCGTGGCGAGGGTTGGAAGCGGCCGGACTCCATGGCGACGCGCCGAGGGAAGCCGCCCCCTTGCTCTCGAGTGCTCTCATCAAAGCGTGGCGGTGGCTCGTTCGAGTCTGGCCCCGAGGGGGAAGTGGCGACCGTGCCTCCACTGGTGCACGCACGCGTGTGTGTGTGTGTGTGTGGGGCTTATTATTTAATTAATTAGGTCCTGCCTCCCCCTTCCTCACCTCCGTCACGTTTTGTAAGCGGTTCACAAACATCGCAAGCAGTTTAACATGTAGAGTTTCAGGGCCAATATTGTCCATAATAGAGGTCTTTTTTGGGTTGGATCGCGTAAATATAAATGTGTCTTCTTTGGTTCTTTCGGTAAAGTCACGTAGAATGAGAATAAAATAATAAATTGATAAAATAAAATAACACAATAATATTCTCACGACGTTTCGGCCACAACACAAGCGGCCTTCATCAAGTGAAGGGACGAGACTTCTGGTAGGACAGCGCTGAAGGCCGCTTGTGTTGTGGTCGAAACGTCGTGAGAATATTATTGTGTTATTTTATTTTATCAATTTATTATTTTATTCTCATTCTACGTGACTTTACCGAAAGAACCAAAGAAGATGAATCCTTGCAGTCACGAAAGCTTTAAATCGAAATATAAATGTGTCGTTGAACCCGCCATTTCCCAACACAGCCAATTAGTTCGTTTTGTCATTTAAACAAAATGTGGCAATTCAGTACCAGTACAGCACACCGGTTGGGTGCTGGAGAGTCCAGTACAGCACACCGGTTGTGTGCTGGAGAGTAAACCGACAACATTTAAAATTGGAGTAGCGTGATGTTTCGCCGGTAATTACAACCAGCATCATCAGGCAGACAGCCAGAGCCATGGAGAAATCCTCCTCCTGCTTCCATCTTAATTAGGAATTTGCACATACGTTTTAACGTCAATTTGCACATACGTTTACACGGCAATTTGCACGTACATTTACACAGCAATTTGCACGTACGTTTACACGGCAATTTGCACGTTGTGAATATCGAAGGCGGTGCAGTTCGTGTGCAGGATGGAGGTGGGGGAATGTGAACAGAATTCTTCAGGGCTCTTGGCCTCGTGCACAGACACCGGCCTGGGGGTGTTGATCTGAAGCGTCGTCATCGTCGTCGTTGTGGCACTAAAAAGGATCGCACCGGTCGTGCCGTGGGGGCTCGATGGGCTCACGGTGGGAGCTCGCCGTGGCCGGACGCAGCGACTCGCGCTGCCGCGGGCATCGTCGCTCGCCGTTGTCAAGTAACGGCACTCGTGGTGGGCTGTGTCGGACGTGCGTACGTGTGCGAGTGTGTTGACGTGGCCACCGTTTCTTTGTCAAATGCAAAATTGGTTGAAGGCACGTCGGGCGCGCGGGACTCTTTTTTCGTCTCGTACGTTTGCACAGATCTGCCGCCCTAGTTTTCTCTTCTCCGCGCGCGGAGATTCTACGAGCCGGGTAGACTTCGTGCAGTTGGTGGCACGTGGCTAGGAGTAGCCGCAGCCGTTGTGAGAGGTAAACTGGTTTCGCAACATCTGCCACAGTTTGGCGTCTTTGCTCATAAAAAAAACTATAAAATTTCCAATTCACTGCTATCCCCACGGTCTTGCGGCACTCACGGCTCGTCGCCCTCCGTGTTCGGTATTTATGCGCTTGTGTGCGTGGGTGTGTGTGTGTGTATGGGGAGCAGCGTTGCAATGGTCAGCGCGCACTGCGCAACGAACCCGGCCACCCGAGTTCTATTTTCGCTCGTGACCAATAACGGTGACGAATATTTGAACCGGTCCTGGGCCTCCCCTAGGTCGACTGCCTCAAATGAGTACCTGGTACAGTGTGTTAACATCGCCACATGGGAGACAAAGGTTGCCGGACATGGTGCTGGCCACCCAGCCCCCCCCCGTCTGCCGTGCCGGCGTTCATAGGCCCTCCTCACTAACAGCACTTGCCTCAACAGTCTGCGAAGGCTTCACGGGTAATCCTTTGCCTTTTGTGTGTACGCTCAGGGCCTGTCACATTTACCAACACGGACTGCTCTTCTGTTCACAGCCAACCTCACTGGGTACGCGGAGCGCGTGGGAATGGAGAACTTTGAACTCTTGAAAGTGCTCGGCACCGGCGGTGAGTCCTTCCCACTCACCCACCCCCACCCTTCCTCCACCGCATCATCTACGCGTTCGTTTCAGGAGCGAAATAAACCGGCTCTCTGGGCCAAACCCTTCTCGGTGCGGTCTTAGGCCTCGTTGCTGGCGACGGGGCCTTGTGTGTGACGTTGCATCTTCGCCGGTATCAACGGGGGGCTGCGTCCTCTGCACTGCCGATTGTTCCGGTGATTGTGGCGTTCCCACCGCTGGCTCTGCAGGGTTGTATCGCAGGAGACGAGCGCACCGGTGCCTCACTTGCGGCTCTTTCGAGCAGCGGGAAGCGGCGACCGTCGTTCCGCGGGAGCGTGGGGCGAGCGGCGCTCTCGAGGGCGGCTCCCACGACAAACCCCAAGCTGCGTCGCGTGGCGGGGTTCAATGCTTACCCGCGACGTCTCCCCCCCCTGCCCCCCCCCCCCACCTCCCGACACCCCCCCCCCGCCCCGTATCCAGCCTACGGGAAGGTGTTCCTGGTGCGCAAGGTGAGCGGGCACGACGCGGGGAAGCTGTACGCCATGAAGGTGCTCAAAAAGGCCACCATCGTGCAGAAGGCCAAGACGGCCGAACACACACGCACCGAGCGGCAGGTGCTGGAGCACATCCGCCAGTCGCCCTTCCTCGTCACGCTGCACTACGCCTTCCAGACCGACACCAAGCTGCACCTCATCCTGGGTGAGAGCGCCGAACCCGCGTGGCCGCACGCAGGACAAAGACCAACAAAGGTCCCCCCGCACCGTGTGTGTCGCCTTCAGCGAGCACCTCTCGAGGCAGGCACGGCACACCAGGAGGGTGAGGTTGGCCAACAAGCACGCCTGGCTGCCTTTGCCCCCCCTGGTGCCGATGTTTACACGGCGCACCAGGGGGACTTCTTTAAGGCCGACTCGGCTTTGGGGGGGAGGTCCAGGATCGATTCGTATATTCGCCACTGATATTGGAAGTGAGCGGGCATCGAACTTGGGGTATCGGGTTAGCAGCGCAGTGCGTTGACCACTCCGCCACCGCTCCGCACCATTCTCCAGAACTCGCACGCATGCGCACACCTGCAAACTGGAGTCCATCCTGTCTCAGCTTCTCCCCCACTCCTCCCTCCACACTCCCCCACTCCTCCCTCCACACTCCCCCCACTCCTCCCTCCACACTCCTCCCTCCACACTCCCCCCACTCCTCCCTCCATACTCCCCCCACTCCTCCCTCCACACTCCTCCCTCCACACTCCCCCACTCCTCCCTCCACACTCCCCCACTCCTCCCTCCACACTCCCCCTACTCCTCCCTCCACACTCCCCCCACTCTCTCGCACCCTTGTACAACCTTAGAAATAACATTCCGTATTTGGGCGTCCGCTCCAGTCGGAACTGAATACTCGGTCAGAATTAAATAGCCCAGATAGCAGCCTTTTTGGCCGAATATTCATCCCAACTTCCGAACGTCCCATTCACAGACCGCGTGTTTTTTTTCTTTCCGAGAGATGCTCGATTTGGGCGATCTCGGCCAGCGGCGTTGCTCCGTGTGGCCGCAGAGACTCGGCCCTGACGCACGTTTGCACACCCGCGCAGACTACGTGAACGGTGGGGAGATGTTCACCCACCTGTACCAGCGCGAGCACTTCACCGAGGACGAGGTGCGCGTCTACATTGGCGAGATCGTGCTGGCGCTGGAGCACCTGCACAAGGTAACCCGCGAGCGCGCCTGGGTTCGAACCCAGGTGACCGGCCGCTGCCCGTGACTCAACCACGCTCTCGAGTCCTATTCTGTTGACGCGCATGATGGCAGCAGCAATACGTTCGTGGAGCTCGAAGCCATTGATGTCGAGGTCCTGCTGCTGTTGCTTGTCTTTAACATATATCTCCATGCGTCTCTATATCTCTGTGCATCTTCATGAGTCCGTATGGGTTTACTATACAATGGTTCCATGGTTTAAGCTGCATGGCTACAATCGCACCCGTTGTCTTTAATTTTCCATTCATGACGGAGATGTGCAGCGAGCACCCTCTGCTGGCGTGCTCCCCCTGCACCCCCTCCCGGCTGCAGCCTAAAGCACCTGCTTCAATGCGTGGTGTTCGACTATCCAGCACAATCATCGAGACTCGACTCTGCATCATCAGCTGCCAATATGTGACGAGATGATGGGGGGGGGGGAGGGGGGGGGGTTTCCATACGGCGGGTGATGTGGCCCCGGGTAGGCGTGCGCTCTCTGATGGCCGCTGATCCAGGTTTACCGCCGGGGTGACTCTGCCCCTCTCTCCCGCTTCAGCTGGGAATCATTTACCGGGACATCAAGCTGGAGAATATCCTCCTGGACTGCGAAGGCCACATCGTGCTCACGGACTTTGGGCTCAGCAAAGAGTTTGTAATAGAGGAGGTATGTGGCTCTGTGTGTGTGTGTGGCTCTGTGTGTGTGCGTGTGGCTCTGTGTGTGTGTGTGTTGTGGGGAGCGGTAGTGTAGTTGCGGTTAACACGATGCGCTATGAACCCGGTGACCTGAGCAACATCAGTGACGATTATCTGAACCGGTCCTGGGGCTCCCCGAGGTCGACTCGGCCTCAAATGAGTACCTGGTGCGGTGTGTAAACATCGCCACTGGGGGGACAAAGGCGGTCAGGCGTGGTGCTGGCCACCCACCCCCATGCGTACCGTACCGGCCTTCATAGGTGCTTGCCAATAGCACTTGCCCCAACAGTCTGTTAAGGTTATACGGGGGTTCTTTGTCTTTGTGTGTTGTGGGGAGCGGTAGTGTAGCGGTTAGCCTGCTGCACTCTGAACCCGGCGACCCCAGTTCACTTCCCACTCACGGCCAACATCAGTGATGATTATCTGAACCAGTCCTGATCCTCCCTTAGGTCTACTCAGCCTTAAACGAGTACGTGGTGCAGTATGTAAACATCACCACTAGGGAGACAAAGGCGGTCGGGCGTGGTGCTAGTCATACCACTCTATCGTGTGCCCTGCCGACCTTCATAGGTACTCGCTATCAGCACTTGCTTCGACAGCCTGTGGAGGCTATATGGGTGATCTTTGTCTTGGTTTGTGTATGCATTTATTGGGTAGTGGTTCACACATCGGAGCGCTCCACAGTACAACTGCGAAAATATGCTCCCATGTATTCAAAATCAGAATATAGATTTTTCCTGGAGGAATCCGATGAGCTATAGAGCTCTTTATAACAGATGTCCAGTCGGGGCACGGGGTAAGAACGTTACAACAACAAACAATACAACACGATAGGAATGCAAAGTACAAGTGAGGTAAACAAATCTCCCAAAGACAAACAAATACAACAAGTAAACCATCCCCATCCTACCAGGCAAAGCCCAATATGGTATTATAACTCATTGTTCAAAAGTGAACTGGACACACATGAATGCTCAGCAAAATTGGCTCATCGTTTGGACATTTGTATCAGCAAAATAATCTAAAATTCTAAACTAATGTGTTTTCTGTCAGTGATGTACATACACGTATAATAATGCTTCAGAGTTGCGAAATGACTAAAAATTCCAACACAGATGACTAATTTGGGATCGCGCACAGCGGCGACCATCACCCCATGCCGGCAGGCTGATGCCTTCTAGCAGACCCAGGTGCCGAATCACCTTGTGCTGCCAAAGGGGCAGCTGTGGGTGTGCCCCCTTTCTAATGTGTTGAGATGCGATGAAAGTTGCTTTTCGTGTGTGTGAAGTCTTTGAGAACACTACACCTTCCCCCCCCCTGGCGGGGTGAGTGCGGCCTCTGTCACACACCCCGCTCATTCTCAGTGTTATTCTTTTGTCGTCCCTTCCGTATGTGTGAAACGATCCTGCCCTCTCCGTGCGCGTGCCTTGCATCCAGAACGAGCGGGCCTATTCCTTCTGCGGGACGATAGAATACATGGCACCGGAGATCGTGAAGGGAGGGAATGCGGGGCACAATAAGGTTCGTCTCCACACCGGCAAATTTAAGCTGCTGTACACACTGCACACACCCGATGGTTGGTAGTAGTCGAAAGCTGTACCTTGAGGGATCGCGAACGATGGCGTTGAGACGGACTCAACTATGGGAACACCACTGTGCCCTGTATGACTGTGCCAGGCTGTAGACTCACTGCCCTATGGGAATGGCGCTGTGCCCTGTATGACTGTGCCAGGCTGTAGACATAAAGCCTGATAGCAATGATGCTGTGCCCTGTGTGACTGTGCCAGGCGGTAGACTCACTGCCCAATGGGAATGGTGCTGTGCCCTGTATGACTGTGCCAGGCGGTAGACTCATTGCCCTATGGGAATGGTGCTGTGCCCTCTATGACTGTGCCAGGCTGTAGACATAAAGCCTGATAGCAATGATGCTGTGCCCTGTGTGACTGTGCCAGGCTGTAGACGCACTGCCCTATGGGAATGATGCTGTGCCCTGTATGACTGTACCAGGCGGTAGACTCACTACCTTATGGGAATGGTGCTGTGCCCTGTATGACTGTACCAGGCTGTAGACTCACTGCCCTATGGGAATGGCGCTGTGCCCTCTATGACTGTGCCAGGCGGTAGACTCACTGCCCTATGGGAATGATGCTGTGCCCTGTGTGACTGTGCCAGGCGGTAGACTCACTGCCCTATGGGAATGATGCTGTGCCCTGTGTGACTGTGCCAGGCGGTAGACTCACTGCCCTATGGGAATGGTGGTGTGCCCTCTATGACTGTGCCAGGCGGTAGACTCACTGGCCTATGGGAATGGTGCTGTGCCCTGTGTGATTGTGCCAGGCGGTAGACTCACTGCCCTATGGGAATGGTGCCGTGCCCTGTATGCGATTGTGCCAGGCTGTGGACTGGTGGAGCCTGGGTGTGCTCATGTACGAGTTGCTGACGGGCGCCTCCCCATTCACGGTCGAGGGAGAAAAGAACAACCAGTCGGAGATCTCCAAGTGAGTGTCTCTCGTGCCGGGCGGCTCCACACCAATCGCTCCCCGGAAGTCGCGCGACGTACATCGGTGCCTGCAACGGCTTTCGCGTCGTCAGCGTGCGTGCCGCGACATCGTCTGGCCCTGCCCCCTTACCGCAGAGCCCCGCCCCTCGCCCTATGGCCTCCACCCCCTTCCCACCCACGTCAGGATCGTGACGGCCGCATCGCGGGCTCGCAAACAACAAATGCTGCGCGTGACGAAACGCGTCGCCGCGAATCGCTCCGAGCGGGATCGTAACCGGTTGAGCAGCCGGTCCGCATGCAAGCCACTCTGTGGTATTGCAACCAAGTTGCATGCAACTGATCGTTCAGGTGTGCACCTGGCTCAACAAGACAACAGACGACTGTGGATTTGACCGCGCTTCAAGACTGTCTACAGAAGCACGTGTTCACTTCGTAGAGAGGCGGTCAGAGGCGGGGGAAACAAAGAGTTGACCCTGGATTTGAACAGGGGTAAGGGAGCCAACAGCACGGACGGCTGGGGTCAAGGGAGTTCCAGACTTTGGGCGCAGCAGAAGAGAATGCATGACCTCCCACTGAGCGAAGGTTGCTGAAGCGGAGAGTGAGTCGAGGAGAGTAGAGTGAGGCAGAGAGAGAGAGAGAGGTCCTGGCACAAGCGAAGTGTGATGGTAGGGAACGTGTGGGCCGAGCTCACCTTGTAGTGCGAGCGTCCACGCCCCTGCTGCTCCACACTGACCCGGAGCCACAGCACCCAGCGGAGTTCTGCTCGTCCTGCTGACCTCCTCTCCCGTGCTCCCCCTCGCTCCCCCGCTCCATCCCTCCTCCGCTCCCTCCTTCTCTCCCGCTCCCCCTCCTCGTGCCCGCGTTTGCCCAGGAGGATTCTCCGGAGCGACCCGCCCTTCCCGGGTGACATTCGCAACCCGGTGCGTGACCTCATCCAGAAGCTCCTGGTCAAGGACCCCAAGAGGCGTCTGGGCTCCGGCCCCGCCGGGGCGGACGAGATCAAGAACCACGCCTTCTTCAAGGTTCGTTTGCAGCATCTGTATCACCAATGCAGCAGTCAGGCTCGCACAGAAGAGCCTTAAAAAACTCGGCCACGTACCTCGATGACGCTGTGGCCCTCAAGAGATGTGTGGTGTGTGCGAGTGTGGGGAGGGGTCGTGTCCTTGGGGTTCGCGCACCACTCCTCCGAACCCGGCGACCCGAGTTCGATTCCCCGTTCACGGCCAACATCGGTGACGATTATATGAACCGGTCCTGGGCCTCCCCTAGGTCGACTCAGCCCCAAATGAGTACCTGGTGTGGTCTGTAAACATCGCCGCTGGGGAGACAAAGGCGGCTGGGCGTGGTGTTGGCCACCCATGCCGTCCTTCATAGGTGCTGCTCGCTTACAGCACTTGCCCCAACAGTCTGAGAAAGCTATACAGGGGGGCTCTTTGTCTTTGTAAATTTCGATTTAAAGCTTTCGTGACTGCAATGATTCATCTTCTTTGGTTCTTTCTTTGTAGTTGTTGTAGCCATACCTGTCAGCCCATAAGGTTTATTACCTGTGTTCAACTCGATTGGAAGCTTTCGTGACTGCAGCAATTACTCTTTGGTTCTTTCCGTAAAGTCATGTAGAAAGAAAATAAATTAAATAATAGAATACGACGTTTCGATTGCAACACAAGCAACCATCATCAGGTAGAACTATATTTGAGAGAGAGACAAAACAAATTTAGTTCTACCTGATGACCGGTTGCTTGTGTTGCAATCGAAATGTATTCTTTTAATTAATTAATTTTCTTTCTACGTGACTTTACCGAAAAAAACAAAGGGTAATTATTGCAGTTACGAAAGCTTCAAGTCAGGTTTGAACCACCTCTAGGGGAGGATGTAAGTTTGTTTTCTCTCTCTCTCTCTGTGTGTCTGAGGATGTAAGTTTGTTGTCTCTCTCTCTGTGTCTCTGTTTGTCAAATTTAGCAATCTTTGGAGATCGTAATCAACCAGGCTATGCATTAACTGTGTGTTAGCCGACTCTCTGTGTTGCATTGCATTATATTTCCAAAAAAGTGCTAATTTTTTTTTCTCAAACTGACTATTTATCTCTCTAAAATTTACCAGGCTCTCATAGGTCCATTTGCTCTTTCTCTCCCTCGGTCGCTTCGGGGTGGATTTCCACACAACTCTCTCTAAAATGTACCAGTCTTGTTGGGTCTTTCATTGACATGCTAATTTATCTGCTCCAGCAGCTGCTCCAGCAGACCCACCTCTCTCTCTCTGCCCCCCCCCCCTCTCTATTTAAGGCCTCAACACAGAGGCATTGGGTCTCTGTGTGTCTATGTTGTGTGTGTCTCTCTGTGTGTCTCTGTGTTGTCTCTCTCTGCTTGTGTGTCTGTCTGTGTGCCTCCGTGTCTGTGTTTTGTCTCTCTCTCAAATGTAGTTCTACCTGATGACGGTTGCTTGTGTTGCAATCGAAGCGTTGTATTCTATTATTTAATTGATTTTCTTTCTATGTGACTTTACCAAAAGAACCAAAGAGTTTACGCTGTAGTCTTGTACAGGGGAAGTGAGTTTTCAGGTCCACACGGCGCACAGCCGTTTCAATACGGGCCACATTTTTTTTGTCTATTTGTTTATGTTTCTCCCTTGTGATGGAACTTTGTGGGATGAACGTTGCGATTTATAAGAGGCACGGGGTGACCAGTAAGGTCTGAATTGGTCTGTAATAAGGTAGGCACTGGTAAGGAGTTGACAGGTATGTATAGCAGACCCACCCATGTATGGGTCTGCAACGGTGAACCCTCTCAGAGCCGGCGCCGCCCGTTCCTGTGACTTCGCAACGACAACCTCCTCCTGTGGCTGATGCCGAGACCGTGTCACGTGACCGAGAGCAGGTTTTGTTTTATGGCCACACGCGCGACGTGTACCCCCTGGTGCTGCTGCCACCCAGTGGCAACATCTGGAAAATAAAGTTATTGCACACAAGGGACCAGGGCACTGGCCGCATTCTTTGCAAAACATAAAACGTGAGCAGGTTTACAGAACTCATTTAAAAATATGCTGGCTTCAGGTAAAACTAGCGTGGCTGTGAAAGGATTCAGTGTGGTGCAGTGCATGGTTCAGTCGCAGTCTCGCTGAGTTGCAATCCCCGCTGAGTCGCCGACCCCGCCGAGTCGCCATTGAGTTTCTGTCCCCGCTGAGTCGCCGACCCCGCTGAGTCGTGGTCCCGCTGAGTCTCTGTTCCTGCCGAGTCGCAGTCCCACGTCTCCCCTGTGTGTGTGTGCTCCACAGTCTCTCAGCTGGGACGATCTTGCGGCTAAGAAAGTGGAGGCTCCGTTCAAGCCGGTGATCCGCGATGAGCTCGACGTGAGCAACTTTGCGGAGGAGTTCACGGACATGGACCCCACGTACTCCCCCGCGGCGCTGCCCCACAACTCAGACCGGATCTTCAAGGTTCGTGCCGTGCACGGTGGCACGGGACTGCTGGTGCTATCCAACCCGAGCTACTATTGATGCTTTGACGCTTGCTTTGCCTTTGTGCTGTTCGCGTTTTGGCGTCGTTCTCTGGTCCGACACTTGTGAGACGAGGCCGTAAAAGAAGGCCGTCTCTGGTGTAGGCCCATCGGTTTCAAAGACGATGAATACTTTATCAGAGCGTGTTTGTTTGCGTGTTTTGCCGCAAGTGTTTGAAAGCCTTAAGACCTGTTTTATTTCCAGAAGGGGGTAAAGCCTATTCTTACTTTTTTTCATCCGCGGTTGCGTGTTCACCCGCTCGTTACGGAGGTTCGCGGTGCGAATCGCGCCGGCCACCCTGGTTATTCCTGCCGCGGGTGTATTAGCCATATTGGTACTGCGCGCCGTCCGCTCTGCAGTGGACGCTCAAGAATCCCGCGACGTCATTTGAAACGGCCCAGGGTTTACCCAAATTTGAAACATGCCTGCCCCGCAAATTACTCCGTTGTGATTTACTTTTTAAGTCATCTCCCCCTACTGTGTGAACTTATGGAGGACCCTCCTGAAAAAGAGTCTTCAGACTCGGTGAGGCTTTCCTCGGTAAACGAGCGCAGCAGCAGCAGTAGCAGCAGCAGTAGCAGCAGTAGGTGCTGGCCACATGACCCACTCGGTGCGCCGCCGTGCCGGCCTTTCACGGGTGCTGACTAACAGCACTTGCCCCAACGGCCTGTGTTTGTCATGTCAGGGCTACTCGTTCGTGGCTCCGTCGATCCTGTTCAAGCGGAACGCCGTCACCACCGATCCTCTGGAGCTGCAGTCGGGCTCCGAGAGGCCGGCCACCACCGCGGTGGCTCGCAGCGCCATGATGAAGGTGGGTGGGGTGGGGGTGGTGGGGGGGTGCGGGCAGCTCTGGAGGGACTGCGCTCGTCAGCCATACGCTGGTCAAATCGTGCAAAAGACACTTTAAAATATAACGCGCTGTTGTTATTTGTGTCCAGCTTAGCGTCACCACGGTGACAACACCATCGCACCGTGCAGGTCGCCGTGCGTGGGGGTTGCCGTGCGTGCGTGTTGCCGTTTGTGTCACCCTGCGTGCGTGTCGCCGTGCGTGTGGACCGGGCTGTAGTAGTCCACGTGTCGTTGTTGCTGCGGGTGCGTTGCAGGATTCGCCGTTCTTCCAGCACTACGAGATGGACATGAAGGAGCCGCCCCTCGGGGAGGGCAGCTTCTCCATCTGCCGGCGCTGCAAGCACAAAAAGACCGGCCAGGAGCACGCCGTCAAGATCGTGAGCAAACGGTAACGAGGCCTTCGCTAGGCGCCGCTCGCACCGCGGGGCGCTGATCTACGTGCACGCCCGTCTCTCGTTTTAACGGCTTGTCCTTTGCGGCTACATATTTTTATTTTTGCCGGGTGGCGCTGTGGAGTTGGTGAAACGCCCGTGAATGGTTGCGGAGTTGCGGCGTGTATGTTCGGTGCTAAGCGGACGTGTGTTGTTGCCGGCAGCATGGAGGCCAACACGCAGAGGGAGATCGCCGCCCTCAAGCTGTGCCACGCGCACCCCAACATCGTCAACATCATCGACGTGTACCACGACACGGTATGGACGCGCGCTCGCTCGGCATCGCGGAGTTTTCACACTAGCGGCGATAAAATTACGCGACTGCATCTCACAGTCGCCGCGCAACCCACGACACGCGGAGGCGTGTTCACAGGTTACGATGTTTTCAGCCGATTGATGAGTGTACAACGTGGTTAGAAGCCGGAGCACCCGGCAGGAAACCCACACGTGTCGGCGAAGGGGCAACGCTCTATCCCAGGGGTCGGGAACCTATGGCTCGCGAGCCAGATGTGGCTCTTTTGATGATTGCATATGGCTCGCAGATAAAACAAAATATTCTCACTTGTTTTAATCCATCCATCGATTTTTCACTGCGCATGTCCTGTTCAGGGCTGCAGGAGCAATTGTCCATTATTTTAATTGGATGATACTGGCCTACGTTTGCCGTTGCTGGGTAAAACAGGTAAACGCCCCCTTTTGAATCAGTCTGAGACTGCGTCTGCTCGGTCATTAGCTCAAAGCTAACCCTTCGACGAAGAAGATGGCGAAAAGAAAAAAAGACGACGAGTATCGTACATTTCAGGACGAATGGACCGAAGAATTCGCCTTTGTGGAGAGAGCGGGTTCTGCGGTGTGTCTAATTTGCAATGACAAAATTACATCGTTGAAACGGTCGAATGTAAAGCGGCACTTCGACACGCGCCACGCTACCTTTGCATCAAAATACCCTGCGGGAGACAGCAGAAAGAAAGTGTGCCAAGAGCTGAGCAGGGTGCAAGCTAGCCAGCAGCAACTCCGCGTATGGACCCGGCAAGGTGACTATAATTCGGCTAGCTTTGCTGGTTCTTTAGCAATAGTGAGGAACGGAAAACCATTCACAGATGGCGAGTATGCTAAAACGTTCATGCTGGATGTAGCCAATGAACTTTTTGATGATCTTCCGAACAAAGACAAGATAATCAAACGGATACAAGACATGCCTCTGTCGGCAAGAACTGTTCATGATTGTACCATCGTGATGGCAAACAAAGTGGAGGAAACGCAAGTGAAGGACATAAATGCAGCGCCGTTCTTTTCTCTGGCTTTGGATGAGTCAATAGACGTGAGCCATTTGTCGCAGTTCAGCGTGATTGCAAGATATGCTGTTGGTGACACACTGTGCGAAGAAAGTCTTGCTGTTCTGCCATTAAAAGGGTCCACAAGAGGTGAGGATTTATTCAAGTCTTTCATGGAGTTTGCTCAAGAAAAAAGTCTACCTATGGATAAACTTCTCTCAGTGTGTACTGATGGTGCTCCGTGTATGGTGGGGAAAAACAAAGCATTTGTGGCGCTTCTCCGTGAACATGAAAATAGACCCATCCTAAGTTTCCATTGCATTATACACCAGGAGGCACTTTGTGCTCAGATGTGTGACAGGCAGTTTGGCGAAGTGATGTCGCTGGTCATTCGTGTGATCAACTTTATTGTTGCCCGAGCCTTAAATGATCGCCAGTTTAAAACACTGCTGGATGAAGTTGTAAATAACTATCCTGGTCTGCTTTTGCACAGCAATGTGCGTTGGTTGTCAAGAGGGAAGGTGCTTAGCCGTTTTGCGGCTTGCCTGAACGAAATCCGGACTTTCCTTGAAATGAAAGGCGTCGGGCATCCTGAGCTAGCCGACACCGAGTGGCTCCTCAAGTTTTACTATCTCGTAGATCTGACTGAACATCTGAACCAGCTCAACGTGAAAATGCAAGGCATTGGAAATACAGTGTTATCCCTTCAACAAGCTGTATTTGCTTTTGAAAACAAGCTGGAGCTTTTCATCACGGATCTTGAAACAGGTCGTTTACTACATTTTGAAAAACTGAGCCAATTTAAAGATGCATGCACAGCAAGTGAGCCCATTCAAAACCTTGATCTCCACCAGCTAGCTGGCTGCACATCCAGTCTCCTACAGTCCTTCAAAGCACGCTTTGGAGAATTTCGTGAGCACACTCGTCTTTTTAAGTTCATCACCCATCCAAACGAGTGTTCACTGAACACAGCCGACCTGAATTACATCCCTGGTGTCTCCGTCAGAGATTTTGAAGCAGAAGTGGCTGACCTGAAGGCCTCAGACATGTGGGTGAATAAGTTCAAGTCACTGAATGAAGATTTGGAAAGAATCACACGACAGAAAGCGGAGTTGGCGAGCAAGCACATGTGGACAGAAATGAAAAAAACTCCAACCCGAAGACCAGCTGATTCTCAAAACTTGGAACGCGCTTCCTGTCACATACCACACACTGCAGCGTGTGAGTATTGCTGTATTGACCATGTTTGGATCTACGTATGCATGTGAGCAGTCATTCTCACATCTTAAAAACATCAAGTCCAACCTACGATCACGTTTAACGGATGAAAGCCTCAACGCTTGCATGAAGCTTAACCTCACCAAGTACCAACCCGACTACAAAGACATCAGCAAATCCATGCAGCACCAGAAGTCGCATTAATGGTGAGTGTTATAACAACATTATTTAAAAGAATAAATTCAGAGGCTTATTATACTGACATTTAGTTGAATTCACTTTTAAAATATATTATATGGCTCTCACTGAAATAAATTTCCAAATTTTTTGCTTTCATGGCTCTCTTAGTCAAAAAGGTTCCCGACCCCTGCTCTATCCTGTACAGTAGCGACAGATGTTATGAGTTCACTTTATTTAGCTGTGTACCGTCTTTTCCTGCCTGAGCCAGGGTGTATGACTCCGCCTCGACACCCACGGGAATGGAGTCTCATAACATGTGTGCGATCCACCAACCCTTGCAGCTGCCTACACAGTGCTGGGTCGTGGGCGTGCGCGGTGCGATCCCTTTCACCGCTCCGATGTGTTTGTGGTGGGCATGCTGTCTGACGTTTTGCTCCACGTGCTGTCCAGCATCTTCGCCGTGAAGCCGTGAGATTTCTGAAGAGGCTCCCCAGTACGCGCAGCGAAACGTCGGACGTTGCGTCAAAACAATGGCTGCACACAAAAAAAGCATAACTTAAAATTTTCGCTCGGGGAATTGCTCGTCGGTCATGTGAACCGCATAATGTCCGTGATGCAGTCATTGTTAGTCTGTTGATGGTCGGCGCTGCGGCAATCGACTCATCTCGACGAGCTGTGCACAATGCACCACTACGGTGCGTACGAGCGTTCAGGGTTTCGGCGCAATCATCCTCACTGCGTTTCGACATCCCGGTGTAGCACTGATTTCGGATTGATTGGTACTCCAGCTGCGGAGTTAAGTACACGCCTGGAAAAAATAGTGTCCCAGAAATAAAATATTTAATTGCCTCGGCCATTTTTATTATTTGGTTTCCCGGGGTACCGCCATGAGGATCATGTGGCGAACGTTACTCTGTGTAACAGCGTGGGTGGGGAAGTGCTGCCCCCCTATTCTCTACATTAGAGGTCACTTGTATGTATGTTGAACTTGTTTCGCACCATACGTTGCCAACTGTGCTAATCGGAGGTGCGGGGGAAGGACAACAAACTTTGGGTCTGTGTGAGTCTATGGGTCTCTGTGTGAGTCTATGGGTCTCTGTGTGAGTCTATGGGTCTCTGTGTGAGTCTATGTATGTATGTATGTTTAAATTCTTTCGCACCGTACATAGCCAAGGGATCTCAGGGGTAGCTCGGACCATTCTCTGCGGGTCGTGCTGCTCTGCGAGAGCTGCGAATGGATTCTCCCGTCTCGTGATGTGGGAAGAGACGAAAATATTTGTGCGAACCCTAAGCCATATTTTTATTTTAACCGGTAAGCCCCACTCAGCTATATAGCTCTTTTTCAGAAGCGAACTGGCCACTAACGATAGCTCATGGAAGTGCCTTATCATGTGGACATTTATAGCAGCCAAATACTCTAAACGCATGTTTTTTTAAATGTGGGGGGAAAAACCGGAGGATCCAGTGAAAAATCCACGCGAGCAGAGGGAGAACATGCTTCCCGGGGGCCGCCAGTGAAAACGAAAGAGGTCGCTCCCCCCACCACCCCCCCAGTTGCTCAGCACCTCGGTGCCCGGTGCTTCCCTGCGCTGCCGTGAGTTCCGCCGAGCTCCGCTCACCCGCGCACTCTCCCCTCCGCCTCCCCCTCCCCGCGCCGCCACCGCCCCCGCAGCTGCACACGTACTTGGTGATGGAGCTACTCAAAGGCGGGGAGCTGCTGGAGAGGATCAAGAAGCGGTCGCACTTCAGCGAGACGGAAGCGAGCCGCATCATGCGCAAGCTCGTGTCCGCCACCTCCTTCATGCATGACACCGGGGTCGTGCACCGCGACCTCAAGCCCGAGGTCAGGGTCGCGCTCACGCTCGCCGCCGTGTGGATCTGCCGTAGTTAATGATAATGATCGAGCACATTTGCCATTGGCGTTTTCTTTGCATTGATTATTTTGATAATTTTGCTGCTATAATTGTCCAAACGGCAAGCCACTTTGTTGAGCTGTCATTTGTGGCCAGGTCGCTTTAAAAAAAAAATGTGAATACGGCTGTAATAATTATTTATTTCCCCACGATTCGCAAACTCGGCCACAAAATCTTGCGGGGTGTGTGCGCGTCAAAATCAGTTCCTCGTGCTGTCGAAGCGATCGGATAGACGAGTGATTTGAAACCCGTTTGTGTTCTGCTGCACACCGGTATTTACCGCCAATGCGTCCAAATATTGTCTTGCTGTCCGTCTTGAATGGGTAGGGCCTCGCGTGCCCATGGTGGGCCATGTGGAACTTAGCCGCCGGCTTCCCCCCCACCCTGCGCCGTGGACCCCCACGGTGCAGGTCACGCGGGGCACGCACGAGAGTCTTTTACCGTCGTCATTTCTTGAATCCGCCCTCCCCTCCCCCCGCCCTCGTCGTTGGCGCCGGCGCAGAACCTGCTATTCGCGGACGATACGGAGGGCGCCGCCATCAAGGTCATCGACTTTGGGTTTGCGCGGCTCAAGCCGCAGGACAACGCGCCGCTCAAGACGCCGTGCTTCACGCTGCAGTACGCCGCGCCCGAGCTGCTGCAGCACGCGGGATACGACGAGTCGTGCGACGTGTGGAGCCTCGGCGTCATACTCGTGAGTCGGCGCGTCCCACTCGCTCGCCCCCTTCGCTCTTCCGCACTCGATGCTGCTGCTGCGGCTGCTGCTGCTGCTGCGGCGGCGGCTCCTGGGGCTGTTGCCGCTGCCGCCACTGCTGCCGTGGCTGCAGCGGCTGCCGCCGCTCATGCAGGCTCCTCGCTGTCGTCATACCTGGGGTTGGAGCGCTCTGGTTCCTACCTCGCTACTGCACCAGATAGGGATTAGGAGTAAAGCAGCAGTCGGCAATCGATGATGATGATGATGATGCAGCACTTGCTGATCTACTCGAGTCTTATCGCTCACTCGCCCGCGCCTAGTCGCCTCCTCATCACTCTTCTTTCACGGCGACGACGACGATTTCTGCGAGTCGATTTGAAGGAGGATTCGAGTGACGTGCCACCGATGGTGGCCCGCCGACGACCAAACGTCTCTCGTCACATTTGATAATAATTGATCATCATCATGAACAATTAAACACTTCCTCCGGTTAATACAATCCGTCGTTGAGTACGCACAACGCAGGCACGCAGTTTGCGTTGACGCTCTCGGAGAGAGACGGAGGTTTAGAGGCGCGGGAACGCAACTGGCAAGCCCGCAAGGGGGGATGACACTCGGTCTCTGACGATTGCCTCCAAGCTCTGTGGACCGAGATCGCAATCGTTGACCGGCTCCATTCTTGAGTGTTTTGCGCATGTGGGAGGAAACCGGAAGTACCCGGAGACAAAGCCCCCACGCGTAGTAAGGGAGAGCAGCAACACTCAATCCCAGTACAGACGGGAATACAGATGGACATTGTTCACAATGTCTGTCTTTTAGAGATATTAACCCACTTGCTGTACTGCCATCACACCCTGGCCATAAGTTTCACGCTGCAAGACGTGGCGACGATGACACCCATGGAGTTTCACGAGCGAGTGTGTGCTTGGTCGTGTTACGGTTAGCGCGCTGTACTACCGGCCTCCCGAGTTCGATTCCCACTCATGACGATTATCTGAAGCGGTCCTGGGCCTCCCCTCGGTCGATTCAACCTCAGTTGAGTACCTGGTGCAGTGTGTAAGCATCGCCACTGGGGAGACAACGGTGGTCGGGCGTGCTGCTGGGCCAACCCCCCCCCCCCCCCATGTGCCGTTACGGCCTTCATAGGAGCTCGCTAACAGCACTTACCCCAACAGTCTGTGAAGGCTATACGGGGGGATCTTTGTCTTTGTGATCCACCAAGCCTTGCTCACTCCACAGTGCCGCATTATACTGCTGGTGGCTGATGAAGATGAGATGTGGGCAGTGTTTGCGTTGTCGCTGATCTCTGCTGTCCGCTCCCACACCCCTGTCTGCTGCTGCTGCTGCTGCTGCGGGCGGCGTCTGTGTGCACAGTACACCATGCTCTCTGGCCAGGTGCCCTTCCAGAGCCACGGGCAGCCCATGACCTGCAGCTCGGCCACCGACATCATGAGGAAGATCAAAGAGGGAGACTTCTCCTTCGAGGGGGAAGCCTGGCAGAATGTGTCGCAGGCCGCCAAGGATCTTATACAGGGTAGGGCTGCTGCTGCTGCTGCTGCTGTTATTGCTGTTGCTGCTGCTCATGCTGTTCCTGTCACTGCTGTTCCTACTGCTGCTGTTTCTTCTGCTCTTGCTCCTGCTTCTGCTGTAGCTCCTGTTTCTACTGCTGCTATTCGTGAGTCTACTGCTGCTGTTGTTCGGGGTCAGAATGCTTCCCGACAGTGAAGCGTCTGCCTGTCTCTCTGCTGCTGCTGCTGCCTTAAGCGATGGCTCAGCTCCTGCCTTGACACAAAACAACTCGAGCTCTGCTCTGCTCGTGCTTTCGTAAATCAATCCACGTCGCTCACAAACACCGTACAGCCGCCAGCCGTAACACAGAACCACTGCACGTGCGCAGCTGGATGAGGGCCTCCCCACGCCGTGAGGGCCGTGACAGTGATTCGGCGGTGGTGTCTGTGTGTCATGCGCAAAGTCTTTGTGTATTCCCCGCACCTCTGATTAGCACGGTTGGCTACGTACGATTCAACATACGTACGTATTGTGTGTGGTGGTTGCCTGCGGTAGACATGGTGGTTGTGTGGTAGGGGTCGTGGTTGTGCGTGGTGCATGTGTCACGTGAGCGGTGTTCGCGACCGAATCTGCGCGATATGTGGTGCGACGGTTGCGGTGAGCAGGGCTCCTCACGGTCGACCCCAGCAAGCGCGTGAAGATGAGCGGCCTGCGCTACAACGAGTGGCTACAGGACGGGAGCCAGCTCTCCTCCAACCCGCTGCTCACGCCCGACGTCCTCGTCTCCTCCGGCTCCTCTGTCAACACCTACTTCAAAGCCACGTTCCACGTGAGGCCCGTGCCGCCGGGGTCATGCCGTCGGGGTCGCACCGCCAGGGTCGCACCGCCAAGGTCACCGCCGGGGTCACGCCGCCAGGGTCACACCGCCAGGGTCACACCGCCAGGGTTACACCGCCGGGGTCACACCGCCAGGGTCACACCGCCGGGGTCACACCGCCAAGGTCACCGCCGGGGTCACGCCGCCAGGGTCACACCGCCGGGGTCACACCGCCAGGGTTACACCGCCGGGGTCACACCGCCGGGGTCACACCGTCGGGGTCACACCGCCGGGGTCACACCGCCGGGGTCACACCGCCGGGGTCACACCGCCGGGGTCACACCGCCGGGGTCACGCCGCCAGGGTCACACCGCCGGGGTCACACCGCCGGGGTCACACCGCCGGGGTCACGCCGCCAGGGTCACACCGCCGGGGTCACACCGCCAGGGTTACACCGCCGGGGTCACACCGCCGGGGTCACACCGTCGGGGTCACACCGCCGGGGTCACACTGCCAAGGTCACCGCCGGGGTCACGCCGCCAGGGTCATGCCGCCGGGGTCACACCGCCGGGGTCACACCGCCGGGGTCACACCGCCAGGGTCACACCGCCGGGGTCGCATGACTGGAGTCGCGCCGCTGGGTGGCGCCGCCAGGGTCGCGCCGCCGGGGTTGCACCGCCCATGTTGAGGATTCGGGCTACCAGATCATTCGCAAAGACAAGGATCCCCCAGATAGCCTTAACAGACATTTGGAGCAAGTGCTTTTAGCGAGCACCTATGAAGGTAAGCACGGCACACGAGGGGGTGGGTGGCCAACACCATGTTCGGCTCATTTGAGGCTGAGTCGACCTCGGGGAGGCCCAGGACCGGTTCAGATAATCGTCACGTTCAGTCAAACACCCCTACCCACTCACCACTTCCCTGCCCTTCGTCCCCTGTTCTAAAGCTCTCACAATAATAATAACCTTGCTTTCATCTGTCGCAACTCTTGACAGTGATGTTATTTTTTTTCCGGCCACTTCACGGTTTTGGGCCTTTTAGGCCCCGCGCTCGGCAACCGTGTAAATATTAAACACGTCCGCGCCATGCAGCGCGATAGACGCTTCCCAAGGGTGTCCGGCCCGGTGACACCCCCTCACCATCCCTTATGGCTCTCCCCCACCCTCACTGCGCCCCCCACACCTCCCGCAGGCCTTCAACCAGTGCAAGCGCGAGGGCTTCTGCCTGCAGAAGGTGGACAATGCTCCGCTGGCCAAGCGGCGCAAGATGAAGAAGAGGAGCACGAGCACGGAGACGAGGAGCAGCTCCAGCGAGAGTTCCACCTCCTCCTCCTCGCAGCCCCACGGCGAGTCTTCTGCTCGCCACGACCATCATCATCGTCACCCACCTCTTCCCCGTTTCACCTCCTCCCAGCCTCACGGCAAGTCTCATCATCGTCATCGTCACCGACCTCTTTCCAGTTTCACCTCCTCCTCCTTTCCAGCCTCACGGCAATTCTCATCATCATCATTGTCGTATTTGAAAAATGGATTTGGTTGGGTTAGGAACCAAAACTCAATTGTGAATCCAAACGTTGGCTGCGAGAGGCTGCTGCGTGCCAATAATGTTACGGGGGAGGCTGTGGCTTTCTTCCGGTTAAATTACCAACTTATAATACTCACCTTGTATTCCTTCTCCTCCCTCCTCCCCTGTTTCCACAGCCACGCCGAAGGTGGTGAAGTTCAAGGACAAGTCTTAAAGGGGCCGTCGAAAAGAAAGAACGCCGAACATTTGACTCCCGCTCGGCGAGCGGCGGGGGGGGGAGCCTGCGGGCCCTCCCGCCGCGGAAGGACGGGAGGGAAGCGCGGAGTCGGCGAAGCGTGGAACTCTCCTCCCCCTCCTACGCCCACCCCCCCCCCTCCCCCAGCACTTTACACGCCCCACGGCCATCAGGATCCCCGCGCTGCCCACACGGACGGCCCCTGGGCAGCGCGGGCAGGTGGAGCGCAGCGTAGCCTGCGTCCCACCGCCCCCGCTGTGCTGCCCACGCCTCTGTGCGAAGAGCCGCTGTTGCGAGCCGGTGGTGTTGACTGCCGCCGGTGGCGGTGTTGACTGCCGCCGGTGGCTTTAACTACCGCCGGTGGTTTACGTCTACCACTGGTGTGAGTGAGAGTGACCGGCGGTGTGAAGTGCCGGCGTGCGAGTCGCCCCACCGGGTGTCAACGCCGACGAGTGCGAAGCGCGGGGTCCGTCCGCGGCGCCGCCCGCCTCCCGGCGGTGCGCACCGCAAGGAACCGGGCCGCCCAAGTTCCGCGCCCGGGCACTCGATGTTGAACCGCGGCTGGAGGACTTCGTCCTGGTTCCGATCTCTCGATGCTTCCACGGATGGGTCCGGTGGCCCCCAACGGCGACGACGTCCGCCACTCCGTAGCTCTCGGTGGCCCCGGTTGGCGCTTTGCTGCAAACGGGGTGAGGCCGACGTGTACCCAGGCGCTGACACGCGGGGGCGGGGAGGTAACCACTTCGGCTTTTAAGATGCGAAGAATGACCTCGGCCGTTGTTTTTTTAATGTTCCACAAAAATAATGCGAAAAAGAGGTCGCTGTGCAGAGCTGTATTTTTCTAAGGGTATTTAATTTGTTTTACAGAACGAAATATTTTGAGCGTTACAGAAGCTCCCCTCCCCCGTGACTGCTGACATGCGAAGCATTACCTTGTTTTTAGAAACCATTAATTTAATCGCTTTGGAGACCTCTGGTTAAAAGTCGCGGGTTGGTATTTACCGGCGCGTTTCGTATTTTTTATTCCGATGCGCGAATTTAACTGTCGGCGTTCACGCATCGGTCGTTGATGTCGCACACGAGGTTACTAAACGGTCGACCGTCGCGCCGTTTGTACGAACGGGCCACCGCCCATGGCTCACCGCTCTTCGCGGCGCGCCATGCTCTCTCGCAACTACGCTTTCGCGAAACGAGGAGCCCGGAAACCGCTGGTGCTTCCGTGGCCACAACTGTTTTGTCCGGCAGTGCCAGACCGCCCCCCCCCCCCTCCCTCAAGGGAGGCATGGTGCCCCAAGCGCTGTTCACCACGACGGGAGTCGGGAAGTCGTGCGCTCGCCACGCTTGGTGACGTCGATTCTGAGAGAACCGGGGCCGACTCGCGCTCTCCCGCTCGCTCGCTCGACTCATCGACTTGCTCGCTCGCTCGCTAATTGACTTGCTCACTAACTCACTCAATCTCGCGCTCACTCGTCGATTTGCTCGCTTGGCGTCTCGCTCGCTGGTTAAACTAAAGCACCGAGGCGCATCTCGCCACGGGCCGAGTGCATCAGCCAAGAGCTGGTCATCGGATAGGAGATTACAAAATTCCCTCACGTCTGGCACAAGAAGGCTGTTCGGGAGCGACTTCTACGAGATAAGGTGTAAAGAGATGTAAAGAGATACAGATGGTTGCGGCGAGAGAGATGAGCATGAGATGAGCGAGAGAGCCGCAGACAAGATGAAAGATGAGTGAAATTAAAGTGGCATAGACGGACGAGAGCTGCGGATGAGATGGCGGTCTAGCGAGGTGAAACGCGCGAGAGAGCTGCCAGACGGAGAGGCAAGAGACGAGTGGTCGCGTCCGTAACCGTCGCAACTTGGCGGCAACGGCGCCGCGTTTTCGCACGACCGCTGCCTGCCCAGCACACGCTCAGTTCATGGGGGGTGGTGGCGGCCCGCCGGACAATGTTGATGGATTAAGCCCCCTGACCTATAGCGTTACGGTACAAACTGGTCCATGGCCAGTCTAAATAACTGTGGGCGGGCGTGCATGTCGCACTAGGGGGTGGTGGTGGTGGTGGTGAATGCCGAGGGCTAGCCGGTTGTGATCGTCTGGCTGTGATGCAGCGACAAAAGCGGGTGGTTCCCACTCGGAATACTCGGGGAGTCGAGTTCAGAGTGCGGCACAGTTTCCGCCAAAGGCTTGATTTTGTTTGGAATTTTTTTAATGAATGTGGGGGTGTCTCCTCGTTGTACATTTTTAAAATATTCCTTCCCATGCGGTGAACACTCAAGGTTTATTGGCAAAGCTTCTGGTACTTGCTTAAAGCGCGCGAAGGCGCTCACATCGGTGGCAGTAAATCACATACGTCAACTTTCGTTGAGCAACCTTTGCCGAGGCCCCCTACAGAACGCACACATCTCCCTCGCGGGCCACCCTTTTTACAACCTACCAGAGCATGGGCAAAAAGTGCGCAAGTTTTTTTTTAGGTCGCACGTTCAGTTTGGTGCTTTCCGGGCGGCCGTGCTTAAAAACGGGCGGCAATGGTGCCTTGCACCATTGCCCAAACGCTACGGATCTCACGGGCGCAGCGTGCGGCTGCGAGCTTCGTCGGTAAACTGGGACAGCTGGGAAGTTTCGCAACGAAAAACGTTTTTTTACCCTGCACGTAGAATAACAACGGCATCGCCACCTCGCATGTAACCGCCATTAAGAGTCGGCGCTGACCCAACACCCCCCCCGCCCCCCTGCGTGTTGGTTTCTTTGCACGCGCCGGTCACGCGCCACGACGCTGTTCCTCTTGAGGACGTTGCCTCTGCGGGGACTTGCAGAGACTCCGCAGTCCCACACATAAGTGGGGGGTGGGGGGGGGTGGTGGTGGGGGGGGGTGCCCAGTGCCACGGCTCCACCTCTGATTAGCACGGTTGGCTATGTACGGTGTGAAAGAAGTTCAAGTTCAGTGTACATACATACGTACAATCAATGTGATGACCGTACACTTCAGTTATAATCGTTGCACTGACACTTTACACCACCACTGCCCCACCTCCTCCTGTTTGCCCTCCTTTTTTGAGTCGGGGCCTTCTGGCGAAAGCGGTCTGCTGATCCGCCGCAGCCTTTACGCACGCACACACGCACGGTCACTTAAAAGCCCTGCCGCAGGCTTGCATACACCTGGCACACTGCAATAGGAACAGCTGACTTGCCTTTCCGGAGACGTTTTCCACAGAGCCGCAAATGTAAACTCGCCGGCCGGCCGCCGATTAAAGGCGCGAGGTGTCCGGGTCCGCTCGTAATCCACAGCGTGCTTTTCCCCGGGTCGGGCTGCGTGTTGAGCATTTTCCTCCCAACTTTTTGTTTTTGTGCCACGCACGACTCAACCGTGGGCACCTTCACGTAACTCAAGCCCTTGTCGGTGCCCCGTGGTAGCCCGCAATCGGCGGCGCGTGGCAAAAGCTCGAGGGAAGAAGTTGAAAAGGCGCGGACCGACCCTGAACGCCGCACGTGGATCAGCTGGCCGCGTTTAGGTGCCGTGAAGGCTTTCTTTTTTATTTTTTAAACGAGGCCACGGGACTCTCCCTCTTTCACCCACCGCCTCTGCGTGGCTAACCGGAGTCCCCGTGTCCTTTCGGTTGAGGCTGATCGAGCGCCGCTCCGCGAGTTGGCGGTCGTGCCCGGTGCCTGGTGGGCACCTGCGTGGTAAGGTAGTACACGCTTTTCATGGCTTTACTTGAAACGCGGGGCGGCACGGACGTCAGGATTTTACCGGTGCACGACTCGAGCACTTAAACAAGGGCTTACTCTGTCGCTTGCCGCCCAGCTCCGTCGTATCCTTGGGGTTTTTATCGGTGGCGGCGGCGGCATCGCACGTTTAAAGAGAGGATTTTTTTTTAGCGCCCGTTCCTGGCGGGCAGTCCGAGTAATACTGCTGAACACTGTGCATTGGCGATGCGCTTACAAGAGACTATCACGACACTGTGATTATTTGAAACAACCCTTTTAAATGCAGTCTTGCCGTGTAGACGCCGGCACGCCCCTTCCGCGCGTACGTTTGTGGCGAGTCGTGGGAGGCCCGGCGTTTTTCTGCATTTTCTTGACGTTGGCAATATTCTTGGGGCAGACGGCTCGATTTTACCGCGTCTAGTGAGGCGCGACCCGCGGCGTGACTCCTGCACGCGCGTCACCCGTAAATCCGCGCGTTGACGGACGGAGCGTTTCCTGCACAAAGCCGTGTGTTGTCGTGTACCTTTTTAAGAGCCTTTTTTGAAGCTTGTTTTTTGGAAAGGCCGGTGGGGACGGGGGTGGGATGTTGCCTGCGAGTCGGTAGAACGCCACGTATCCCAGGAGGCCCCTTCGAGGCGTTGAGCTCGCACTGTGCCCGTGCCAGGTTTATTTATTGAAATGCAACGAAGCCTCCGAAAAGGGGAAGGGGTCGACTGACGTCTCCGGGCTCCCTGCCGCCGCCTCCTGCCCGGCCCAGCAGACTGCCCGCTCTGTCGAGACGCGGGTTGGATGAGCACAGCGATAGATCGAAAATATGCATCGTGCGCAAGAGAGAGGTTTTTTTTTTTAAGGAACGCGTTCGAGCAGACTGCCCGACGAGGCTTCCTCGCGATTGGCCCGGTGCCGTCGACGCTCGAACGGTGGGGTGGGGGGAGGGGGGGAGGTGGAGATCCACGCGCGAGCGCGAGCGCGAGCGGACCCCGTCGTCCCTCGTGTCGGTTTTTTACGACCGTTCGCCGTCGAACAATATGAATTGGCAATCCTGTGACGGTTGTTTGCCCGCGGAAAAGGAACGATCTTTTAACGTGTCATAATGGCATGCGCACCCAGTGGGGATTTTGTCCGAGGATGAGCGGTGTTTGTTGGGTCGGCATTGTTAAGTTATTGAATGGGCTGCTGTGTACTAAATGAGGGATGCTGTATGCGGAGTGTTGCACGTGGAGTTTTGAAGGTCACCGGTACCGATCGCAACTGCAAGGGAACCGTTGACCACTTCTCATCCTTCCGTCTCGAAAGATCTTCACACCGGAGGAAGGATATCCACCAGCCCGTTTACTCGTGTTAATCGCAGCTTTGGTGAGCCAAGCAAATGTTTTTGTAGACTTTTAAATGAGTTTTAATTTTTTATTTCCTGAAACAAATATTTCCGACTACTGTACCAGCAATAGGGGTTGCTGCCGTGTGGAATCGCCTGAATCTCGGATAGCAGTGGTCGGTGCACCAAGCGTCGTGATGATTCATTGTGATGAATCTCGACGGGGCTCCCACAGTGATGCACAATAAAGCTATGACCAACAATAGCCACTGTAGACTTTAGACGTGAAGTACTAGCGCCATCCATTGGTGGACGTTTTTACCGTATTTTAACATTTGAATTCATAGGTATTTTCTATTAAAAATCTACGATCTGCCTGTGGATCACAATCCTCGTACTGGCCACCGCCGATCTAAAATAGGCTATCCGCTTTTTAAAACGTTCCCGTAATTTCTCTTTTTTCCGCTCTGTTTTGCTGTACGCGTCACCGAACCGACCATGCGTGCGGGGTGGGGGGGGGTTTGGGTTTACGTATCTCGCTGAAGTGACGGCAGCGTCAAGACCACGCGGCAGCCGCCCCTTATCTCGTTCCGAGACTCAAATCGCTCCAGAAACCGAGACAATCAAAGTGGCCGCAGCAACGCGTAGCCCTTCGCTTAAATGTTGACTTGCTCTGGGTGACAGCAGGACTTTGTGTGGAGCGCCAACTTCCTGTCCTCGTTGCTCTGTTCTGCACACACAGAGTAATCACGGCTTTACATGTCCCACTTTGTATATAAATTCCGGGGTCGCTGGTAGACTGGCACCTGGCGCTTGTAGCCACATCCAAAGTTCGAGAGGTGCTCCTAACCTCGATGTGATGTTGCCGGAGGTGGAAATTATTTTGGGCAGAATTGGCTGGCAACAAAGCTCGCGCACTGTAAAACATCCATGATCTGTGGCATTCATAATCAGAATGTATTTATATTGGAGGAATCCGATGAGCTATAAAGCTATTTTCCACAAGTCCAATAGGGGCGGGTAAGAACGTTACAACAAAACAAAAAATGATAATAGTGCAATGTACAAGAAAGGTTAACAAAATCGCCCAAAAAACCCCAAATGAAACTAAACCATTCCCATCCTACCAGGCAAAGCCCACCCAGGTATTATCTAATTTGTTGGAAGCGACCTGGCCACAAATGATAGCTCAACAATGTGGCCCATCATTTGGACATTTATAGCAAAAATAATCTAAATAATCCGTATGTTTCTAAATGTGGAGTGCCCAAGGCGAACGGGTAATTAAGGTGAACAGTGTGCATCATCTCTGCCCAGCTTCTCGCGCAGTCGGGCCCTCCCTGAAATCCTAACTTCAAACCTAATTAAGTATATATCCTTACGGTCACATCAACTGATATTTAAATTGCTATTTAAATATATCTTTATAAAAACGGTCCACAAGTTAGTCTATGTTTAAAGTTGGTATTGCGAGAGGTGTCGCACCGGCTTTTGGAGGCCTTCATCCAGCAGTGGGTGGCAGGGTCGCAGTAGCAGTGGTGACACTTGGGCCGCCTCCTCACAGTTAGAAGTGCCTGGGTTCGGTTCCCGCATTGGGGATAATTTTTGTGTGGAGTTTGTGTGGTTCTCCCCCTGTTCTGCATGGGTTTTCTTCTGGTCTTCTTGTTCACCGCCCCACCCCCACCACCATAGCTAAAACACGCAATCAGTATAACGGGTATTGGCCAAGCATCCCCAATGCTGAGAAATTACCGGCAAATTACTCTTTGGTTCTTTCGGTAAACTCACGTAGAAAGAGAAAATACCGGCAAATTACTTGGTTGGGACTCCACAAAGCAACGTCACCCCCGACCTAATGAAAACTTGTCAGGACCCTCCTGAAAAGAAGAGTCTTGAGACTCACCGGGTGAGTCTCTTCCGGATAAGCGGGGGCAATAATCGGTGGATTGACGCTGGAGGACGATGATGACGATGGTGGTGGGAGAGTTGGCGCTCTCGCAAATGGCCCTCCTGGTGTCGCCGTGCTCCAAGGGGACAGTTGGGGACGCCCCTCTAGCTGGTCTAGACATTTTAAAATTGTGTGAATTCATCTCGAAGCTTAAGACCAACTCGCTTATTGTATCGAGGTGCGTTTTACTTCCGCGTGTGGTTATGGAGTTGGGTCTCTCGGCGTGCATGCGTGCGTGTGTGTACATAGGGTGCCGTCGCTGTACGGAGAAATGTCTCTGCCGAGTGTGTGAACGAGGGTTTTAATGACATTGAGAGAGGCGGCTGCCGAATTGTGTCGTACAATCCTGGATTTGACTTTGTGGCTGGGTTCGAAACAGAGTTATTTGAAAGTTGACAATGTCACCTGTGACTGTGTCCGGTAGTAACTGCCCACTGCGATGAAAACTGAAGGCGGACGTCACGTGCGAGGGTTTTTTGGCAAGCAAATGCACAGGCTGCGCGCAGCACTACGCCGGGGCCGCGACTCGGTCACTTGCAGCAGCCGCTTACGTCCATAACCCAGGTTGTTTTTTGGTTTAGATAATGTTAACATAAATGTGTCGTTAAGCCTACCACTATGCGACACAGCTAATTCGTGAGGGTTTGTCACGTAAACAAAAACGTGCCAATTCGTTACTAGGTCAGCACACCGGTGGTGTGTTGGAGAATGAACCCACAACATTTACAATTCGAGTGCTGTGACGTTTCACCAGTAATTACAACAACAACCAGCGTTAAATATTTACGCTATCTAACCCAAGTAACCTGTTGTATTATGGAGGCTGGTTGTTGTAATTACTGGTGAAACGTTACGGTACTGTAATTGTTTTTGGGTTAGAGATCGCGTAAATATTTACACGATAAAACCAAAAAAACGGTCTTATGGATATTGGTCGCGAAAGCCTACGAAACAACCAGCCTCATCAGGCGACAGCCACAGAGTCGTGGAGAAATCCTCCTCCTGTCGCTTGCACCGTTGACGTCTCGGCAACTGTTAGAAAGGCAACGGCGTAAACTTCCTCGGGCGTGCGCATGCAACGGATCGCCCGGGTGCAGACGCGCGTCGGCGTGCAGAGAGGTGATCTTGACCGTTTGACGTCTACTGCCCGCAGCGCACGCCGGCCATCGAGTCCGTTGAGGTTTTCCCGGCGTGGGGCGTTGTGATGTTCGAGTCGAGTCTCTCGCGTCTGTAAAGACGACCGCAGTGGCCACACGCACAGCAGCTGGGCTCGGTCGCCCGGTGCTTGTGATGTCCAAGGTGAGCCTCGGTCTACGCTTTGGGGGTCAGATTTACGGAAAAGCAGGCCTTCAAATGCGTGTGAAACTTGACCTAAAAAATGTATACGAGTAACCTTGTGTTTTGTAACCTTGTATCTGCTACAAGTTACCATTCGACAGTTAGACCAGTTGGTATCCACACCGCTCACACAGATACCGCTTGTTGCACTTGCAGCCCCTGCTGTAAAATCCACTGCTGGATGAGGGGTGGGGGCTTGTTGTTACAAGGGTTATTCGAGTGACTGCTCATCACGCCGGGTGGTCCGAGTTGGTGAAGGCCACAGAACGTACAAGCGCAGTACAACAGCAAATGTTGCGCCGCCGCCGCGCACGTCAACTGGCTTCATAAAAACCCATCGACCCTTCGCGCCCAAGCTTCCGTATGTCTTGACAATCTATCCCTGTATTCTTAGTTTTTTCGGTAAAGTCACGTTGAAGGGAAACAACAAAATAATAAAATATATAAAACAATAAAAAAATTCTCACGACGTTTCGACCATAACTCAAACGGTCGTCTTCAGGTGTGTTGGTTCGCGTAAATTTATTTTTATTTTTTTATAAATAAATAAATGCGCCGTTTAAAAAAATAAAAATAAATTTATGCGAACCAACACACCTGAAGACGACCGTTTGAGTTATGGTCGAAACGTCGTGATTTTTTTATTGTTTTATATATATTTTATTATTTTGTTGTTTCCCTTCAACGTGACTTTACCAAAAAAACTAAGAATATGAATTACTGCAGTCACGAAAGCTTTAAATCAAAATTTAATCTATCCCTGCTTTCCCCGCAGTTCTCGATGGGCGCCACGTTGGCGATGTTAACGACCTCGCCTGGTATGCAGGAGGTCGTGGGTTCGATCCCGATCCTGACGATGCCTGCTGTATATTTGTAGTTTGCATGCACTCCCCGTGGTCGCGTGGATTTTTCTCCGGGTCCTCCGGTTGTTCCATCCACATTTAGAAACATGCGTTTAGAGTGTTTGGCAGCTGATACACATTTCCACGTGATAAGCCACTTTGAGCGGTTATTCGTCGCCGGGATCACTTCTGAAAAAAGAGTTACAAAGCTCAGTGGGGCCTTACCTGGTAAAATCAAGCGTAGTTTTCTCTTACTAGTTTTTTTAAAAAAAGGTTACTTAGTCCCACTCGAGACCATTGGGAGCTAGATACTCGATTGTTGACTCGAGTTCAGTGCGACACACGTCGCATGCTGACACGCACTCGACCTGCGTCCACGTTGTGACGGTGCTCCAAGCGACGCTGCAGCAACTGTCAAGCGTGCAACAACATTTAGTCCCGTGGGTAGAGCAAACGTCGCCCAACACTTAAGGCCGCAAAGCATTAGCCATAAAAAAAACGATTAAACTTTTTGTTTATTTTATCAGGTGAGGCCCACTGAGCTACATAACTCTTTTTTCAGAAGCGACCTGGCTCTCACAAATGATAGCTCAACGAAGTGGCTTCTCATCATCACGTGGAAATATATTGCAGCCAAATACTCGAAACGCAGGTTTATAAATGTGGAGAGAAAACCGGAGGACCCAGAAGTAAAATCCACTGACCACGGGGAGCGAAACATGTGAACTCCAAATATACAGCAGGCGTCAGGGTCGGGATCGAACCCACAACCTCCTGTATAGGCGAGGTAGTTAACATCTCACCACAGTGGCGCCTGTAACATTGGTTACGGGCGTAGCTCGATTTAAACGTTGGCCTTGCGTTCTGAAAAGTCTCATTGCGTAACCTAAAATGCCGTTCCTAACAAATAGTTTTCTGACGCAAAAAACACAAATATGAACGCTTGTCAACTCGGCTAAGAAATTTCTCCTTCATGAATGTGTGGGAATAAGAAATAACGAGATGTGTGATTAACAAACGAAAAAAACACTGCGCATCGCAATTTACTAACCAGGAACGGGGTGGTGCACGTCGTGTGACGTGCAGCTGCGGTGGCGAGGGCTGGAGGGGGGTGACTGGGCTGCGTTGAGAGGGGCAGGAGGAGCCCTCTGCCTCCTGCCCCTGTTGGTCTTCAAACGTAATAACGAAACAAACGGGGACGTAAACAGAACAACCAACAATGGAGATGTGTTGAGTGGAATACTGTACTTTGATAACACCCCATTCATTCTAAACGGGTTGCCACGTGATTCACTGGTTGGCCACATAGGGAAATTGGAACCACCTCAGGTTGAACTAGCTCGTCTGGGCTCGTGAACAACCAATTGCAAAAAGTCCCGATATCCCTGCCACCCTCTCTCAGTCCAGAGTGAATCGTGAGGCGCGTAATTGAAGGGAGGTTTTATTTCTTTAAATTAACAAGCTTGCCTTGTAACTCGGGAGTTAACATCTTGGCGAGAAAAGCACACCAGAAGGTTAAACAATGCACCGTTGTCTTTGAAAGCAAGTTGTACAATAGGTCTGTCCAACTGCGGGATGAAGGCCCTGCCCTTCACTGTGAGTCGTGAGGGATTCTTTGACCATTACTGGACCCCACTGATGGCCAGTGCACGTGAAGCGGAGGTTCCGGAGGTCGTGCGCAGTGATTTGTACGAACCTCGCAAACCCGAGCTTAGATTCACGGTTAGCATCGGCGGCGGCGAGGTGATGTTTGGACTGGCCCTGGGCGTCCACTCATTGAAGCCACGGGGAGGCCCTTCATCCAGCAGTGGACTGACAAAGTGCTGTACACAAGGCATTTTATTCGTGTTGAATGTCAAAATGTAATACTGTACACATCGAAGCATGTTGAAATCTGTGCTGCATTTTAATAGAATCGGCATTGCGTATGATTTTATCCTCGTATTTTAGTTGTCTCGGTTTTAAAATGGCACCAGTATATCTGTATTATAGTCCGGCCATCGTTCAGACCCCCCACCCACCCCCTCTTTACGTGACAAGTTACACACGAGTTGCATTGATGTCACGGTCACGCGTGCGTGCGCCCCCGTTAAACTTTCAAGCGCCGCCCCCGCTTCCGTGACCAACACCGACGATTGTTACCCGCCGAGTTTTTCAAAGCATTAAATAAAACGTTAACGTACGCGGGCGCTCTCGACGATGCATTGTGGGATGTTTGCCGTGACGTTTCGCGTTTTGTCGTTTCCGTGAACGTGGGGAAAACCTCGTGTCGGCTCGGCTCAACCGCAAAGTTGATTTCTCCGCGATCGCGAGTTGATGGTCAGACAGTTGGATTTATAAAAAAAGTAACATTTACAGAAATTAAACTACATTTTTAAACATATTTTATTTTACTAGGTAAGCCCCACTGAGCTATGTGATTATTTTTTAAAAGCAACCTGTCCTCAATTCATAGCTTAACGAAGTGGCTTATCATGGGGAAATTTATATCAGAAGCCACATAGTCTAAAAGCATAGCGATGCATAGAGACCCATGGAGACAAAGAGACCCGTCGACTAAAATAAAACTAAACGATTTTAATTTTAACAGGTAAGGCCCACTGAGCTATACAGCTCGTTTTCAGAAGCGACCTGGCCACAAATGATAGCTCAGTGAAGTGGTTTATCACCTCGTGGAAATGTATCGCAGCCAAATACTCAACGCATGCTTCTAAATGTGGAGAGGAAAACCAGAGGACCCG